AAATAGTTCAAGTAATATTTTTATACAAAATGGCTGCTTTACTAAACTTAGTATGATTTAGTTAAACTAAAGTTGTTGTGGTGACTTGCTTTTAGTAAGAAAGTTCCTGAAAAATGGATTCGTAGGTAAATCTCATAAGACATTAACCTGCAGTCTATAAATTTCACTATTAAGTTCAGGTTGGCTCAATCTGCAAGCCTCCTTTTCATAAAACAATGTCATACGAAATGAAGGCGGTCACAGAAATGAGAGCAAAGGAAATTCAGTTAAATCCAGATATATTTCGTATACAAAACAAGAGTATCAGCGATTTATAGATGAAAGGCAATGAACGAGATTTCGTAATGTTAGGCTATATAAAAAAAGAGATTGCACCATATTTGCTTAAATGCGGAGGAAGAAGGAACTGTAACATTTTGAATTGTCACGGTAAGCACATGATTTTTATCACAAACTAAACTAAGAGGTATCAGCAAATTAACTAGTGAAGTATAATAACATAGTGGCTCAAAGTAGGTTAAGTTCATACATTATTTTGTGCAATATTTCAAGGTGTAGAATAGTTGAATACATAAAATAGTAATAAGTAAATATATATGAAAAATTAAGTAGAAAATTGATCATAATTCAAAAAGAAATTATCACCCTGAAGAATTTAACGAACAAATTAATGAGAATGCCAGGTATCAATGTTGAAAATAATAAGGATACTTTGGTGCATTTCGTATTAAATCTTATCAGCAATGCTATACACATAAATAAATAGTTAGTTATTAATGCTGCAATTATAAGATAAAGGTTGGCTTAAGAACTCAGGAATGGAACCACTATGGCCCATACTAATTTTTCAAGATAAGAGTGAAGCAAATAATAAAATTACATATTATATAGAAGACTGTACTTACTTGACAGAGATACTAAATTGCCCTGGATTGTTTTCACTCTGTCGGAGCAGAAATGCTCCATTTGGCTGGATAAATGCTCCTGTATCTGGTCGTTTCTCTAAGAGTCGAAGTTCGGCCTCCTTTCGACTACACCTAGATATATACCAAAGATTGCTCGTAACTGAAATGTAATTGGCTGGAACCATTCCTTCCTTTCCACCTAATCTAGCCTTATACCAATTAGGATCTTCTTCCATTCCAATTATCTTAAAAATAAATAGAATTTTTAGTTACCTGAAGTCTATTGCCTTTGGAAAATGCCAATTCGTCGCTTTCCGTTGGAGTAAAATCGTGCAGAGCAACTGCCTCCATTATATTTAGAATATTAAATTATGTCAAAAGGTATCGGACTAGAATTTGAATCATA